TTAAGTGGAAAACAAAACAGCCCGTCACTACACTACACCTATAGTGAGCCATACTTGCAGTATGACAAGTATCACGAATATGCTCTTAACTTGAGTCAAATGTGCTCGCAATAAGAGGATTTTGAAACAACGGCGACAGAGCTTTCCGTCATTTCGGGCTTATAGATAACATTAAATTAGCTGACGCGAACGGGGTACGGGGCATACGCCAAATAGTTCCTGAAGCAAAACCGTGTATATATTGTATTGCTCACTTGTGTAAATGGGAGAGATGTGACCTCGTGCAGTAATGTGGATTCGAAAACATTCCAGGTGTGATTTTAAACAAATTTCAAAATTTTGTACTGAACAAAATATAATCACATGAATCTCTAACTGTTTTCATAGAAAAGAACTGTTAGCGATCGCTCGCCATCGGCTGTCTCGGACTGTGTAAAATCACTGTGGCGCTACTTTCATAAGACAATACTCTCGTTATAGATTTTGTAAGAATGTATATGTAAGTAGCAACAAAATGAGGTTAGTGGGAATGTTATGCAACATAGACGAGCTACGGTAGGCCTATATCTATAACATTTTGCTGCGAGAACATGCCATTTTAAGGCACACCAATGAGGCAATTTAAGATATGCTCAGAGGATTTACGCAATGTCGCCGAGTTAGCTTCAGCTTTTAAGGCATGTCAAACCAGACATGCATTAAAGGCCTGCGGTGAGAACCATGCTTAGGGCTAGAATGGAATGACATGATCATTGTTGATGAGAATTGGCACCCAGACAGCGTTTCCTGCACCATGCTTTCGGGTGCTAGGTTTATGGTGTTTCAGGGTAGAACGCATGGTGTCCAAAGATATTACAGGCGTCTATCCAAACCATTTTCATACTGAATACCCGGACCCACAATTAACAACAATTCTAAACGCAAAATTAGCAGAGCTCTGAAAATGTGAAATTAAATGGTAATTTAAAAAACTATATCTTATTGCGTTCATCTCTGTTACTCCTATCTGATGGTAAAATAAAACATATCCTGGATATATGAAAACAATCCATGCTGTTATAATAACAGGATGTTTATTAATTTTAATGTTATCAACTACATCTACGGCCTAGAACCTAAAAAAACAATTTTCGGTCCGCTGCGCTCGCAACCGTCCATCAATTTTTTTTAGGCTGCTAAGCTAAGCCTGGTTCCCCATCATTAAGCAGCCTATATTAGTCCGCCGACTACGCCAAGTCATGGGAGAATGCATGACCTACAAGAATACTTGTATAGCCATATCGCAGGACACCAAGGGTCACAGACTCTTCCTGAGTCTCTTCTGAAGTTCCTGAAATTTGCTTTCGACGCAGCGCTGGCTTCTCTGCCCTTCACTTCCTTTCGCTGAAATAGTCAGTGACACGAACGCACATTAGTTCCCTCCAAGGCGTCGTACAACGGTCGGTGACAGCAAGTGGCATCGCGTGGGACAGACAACAACATTGCTCTATAGAGCTCACATCGGTATTACAAGTATGGTCGATAGATGACAATTATTCCTCTACGGGATCACATGATGACCACGGGTACGGGTGACATTATTCTCTCCACAAGCTCATTAGATGACACAGTCAATGCGATGGTTAAGATAACCAGATATCATAGGGTGTAAGTCAGGTACCATAGATCATAGATGCCGGCAGCTGCATGTAGTGCGATGAAGAAGCAACAAGCTGAGAAGCAGACAGTAAAACATACAGGTATGCACCTAAGCAGACAGGAGCGGCAGCAGCCATGCAGGCCAGGCCAGCCAGCGCAAAACAGGGCAGGATGTACACAACATACTGGCAACGCTGGCAGCAGGCAGTCGGCAGGCAGGCCCATGCTCAAGAAACGAAGGGGCCAGGGTGCTACCACAACAAACTAGGCAGTTGGCCAGGCAGGCAGGCAGGCCAGCCAGGAAAACAGGGCAATGGATGTTGACACAAACATACTGGCAAGTTGGCAGGCAGGCAGACAGGCAGTCAAGAAACAGGGCAGGGGTGTACACAAACAAACTGGCAAGTTGGCAGGCAGGCAGGCAGGCAGGTAGGCTGACAGGCACAGGCAGTCGCTTAAAGGAATACTAGACTCTAGGATTTTACTGCATACAACTGTACTTACGGTATAACAAATCGTCTATACCCACACGTACTTGTTACCAGATACCTAATTTAATGGTTATAATTAATTATACAGCAACGCTACGAAATTTGAACGGCGCCATTGACACCCGCGACCGTGCTGCCACCCTGAATAAGTTGCGCATTTACCAATATATTTTGCATGTTACAGACCGAGTGCTAATCACAAAGGTGTAATTATATTTATACCTAAATGCTATTTAACCGAACGATGTTCATTTTAGGACAAATTTATCCATAATATAACTGAAACTATATGTCGTTTATAAGATATTACAATCCTTTTGCTTTTAAATTAATAAATAAGAAACACCCTGTCTGTAGCCCTTGGCTGAAAAGTCGTTTTGCGCAACTTTTCAGATCGTGCGCTTTGAGTGGCGCCACCGTCGTTGTAATCAAAACTGTAGTCGTTAGTTTTAAAACATTAAAATATTTCTAATGGTGATTAAACCATAAAACTTTTTATGTAGCGTAATTTTAACCTAAATTAACTTAAAATAACCCTAGAACCTAGAGTAAAGGATCCCTTTAAACAGGGAGAGAGACAGGCAGGCAGGCAAATCGGCAGTCATGCAGACAGGCAGGAAGGTAGCGACACACAGGAATGCATACAAAAACAGTGAGCCAGGCAGTGAAGCTGGAGGTATATAGGCAGGCACTGATGTAAATTAATAGTTCCATGGTTTTCAGCATACCCTGATACGTTAGTAAGCACCAAGTATGCTTAAAAACGTATAATACAGCCATCCCTTGCCAGCCAGAGGGGTTTCTTTGTTGTTGTTTAAAAAAACGTTTCATTGCTCGGTAAGCTACAGCTGGTAAAAGCCTCTCTCTATATATGTTATTCTTCACCAGCTTGGTTTTCTCTATCATAATCTCTCTACCCTTCCGAACTGTGGAATTCAGGATTGATATTATTTTTAATTTAAAGTTTTTACTATTGATTAATATTCATTAATATAAACAATATTGTTAAACTGGTTAGTGGTTATGCTAGTGTACGCTTGCTTAATGGGTTGAGAGATTGTCCTCAAAACTGGAAACTGAGATAAGAGGAAGGGATATACCAGTGGTAGAAGGCTGCAGTGAAGATGTGGTGGTGGATTTACGTTTGAGTTGCCTAGAATTGTTGACTGATTTTATATGTATTCTTTTACAACTTATTGCCCATACTGACAACCTTATGTGTGAAACTGAGTAAAACAGTTGGTAAACCTAAAACACATCAAATTTTCTGTGAATATCTACAATATAGATGAGCAACCCTAGTGTTGGCAAGCAATGGCTGTGAAAAATGACGGTTCAACATAAGGAACATAAAGGATATTATATAGGATAAAGTATATAATATAAGTGAGTTAGTGCAGCGTGTGTGGTATACTATCAGCAGCCTGAATGCTTATATATGTAATAAGCAGCCTGGCAACAGTCTATAGGCTACAAAGCATGTAGCCTTCCACGAGGCTGCATAGCCTGTAGACTGTTGCCAAGAGAATGGCAGCTTTACCGATCAACCGGCTAATACATGCACACTACAAACTCAACACACAACTGTCAACAAGCTCCAGTACAAGCAAGCAGCCAACCAGCAATTACTATTCAATATTATAATTCCAGTGTCACAGAGACACTTCGTTGTAAGAATATTGCCTCTGAGACACTGACAAACATATGTAGAATTTGTCACGATTAAAAACATCTCTGTGCTTTGCATTAAGTAATGTTACAATGTGACATACACAAACAAACTGTGGTCCCCTCACTATTTAGATGTTACTAGACAAGTGAAACAATTGGTGTGAGTAGCTGCGTCCAAGCCAGCAACACTGTCACACAAACCTCCACCAACACATGCAATGTGGCCTCTCGATGTTCTCCTTCTTGAGCTGTACATCGTTGTGTGAAGCACGCACGTACGCACGCACGCACGCACGCACGCACGCACG